CACGTGATTGAAGCATCATTCTAATTGGTTAATAATGACAGCTCTGACCAGAGCACATTAGAAGGTTTAAAAAGTAAATCAGCACAGAGTGTTAGCCTTATAGGTATATTGATATATGTAAGCTGGGCTAACGAAAAATGTTTTTATTGTTATAACTAACTGTAAGGATATTTTTATAAAAAATAACACATTCTATTGGAGCTCTGGTAGCACAGTGGCTAAGACACTGGACTGCTAATCAGAAGGCTGGCGATTCAAACCCACCAGCCACTCTTTGGAAGGAAGATGGGGCAATCTACTTCCGTAGTGATACTGCCCCTCAGGAACCCAAGGAGGGGTCGCTATGAGTTGGATCCGACTCGATGGCATAAAACAACAACAACACTGAAACATTCTACAAAAATTTTATAGACAGTCATTTTGGTGTCACCCGCTTTGACAGAGTCATCCAGTGTGGTCTGTACAACCCCCTCCCCACATCTACCTAGTGACTTCACTGCCTCAGGGGTTAGTTTGGGGTCAAGGTTTGAAGAGCAGCTTGGCAAAAATTTCAGGGAGTCCTATAATCTCAACCACTTCAGTGGATCTGGTTTGTTCATTCATTTGTTTGTTTGTTTTTAGGAATTTGAGGTTCTGTCACATTTTTCTCCCATTCTATTAGGGTCCATCTCTTGTGGCCCTGATCACGACAGTTGGTAGTAGTAGGTGGGCACAATCTAGCTCTTCTGATGTTGGATAGATGAGGCTATGGTTTGTGTACACTCTGTCTTATGGACTAGTTTCTTCTTTGAGTCTTTGGTTTCTTTCTCTTTTGCTCTGAATAGGTTGAGACCAACAGTTTTATGTTAGATGGCCACTCACAAGCTTTTAAGACCCTAGATACTACTCATCAAACTAGGATATGGAACATAACTTTATAAACTATACTATGCCAAATTACCAAGATATCCCACAAAACCACGGTCCTAAGCCTTCAAATCCAGATATCCAATCCTGCAAGGTGTCTTACTCATTTTTTAGTGCATATCACTATACCTGTAAGAAGCTCACTGGATCAACATCAAATGACAAAGAAAATATCAAAGCATTGATAAATATATAATCCTTGCTTAAAGACAGAAGCAATGACTGGAGCATGAGTAGCCTCCAAGACAAAGACACTATCAAAAATCTGAGAGCATCTACCTGGCAAAAAGATACCATCAATTATTCAAGAATACTTCCAAAATTAAAAAATAAATAAATAAAAAAGTGTGAGCATCTCTCAACTTTTCTGTTGTTGTGTTGTTGTTGTTACGTGCCGTCGAGTCGGCCCCAACTCATAGCGACCCCTCCTTGGGTTTCCGAGGCAGTATCACTACAGAAGTAGGATTGCCCAACCTTCCTTCTGAGCAACTTTTCTGTATGATTAAATTTTTTTGTGATAAAATGTAGAACAACAATAAAAAGAACAAGCAGAGAAGATGACATTATGCTACACTTGAAAACTTCTATTATAAAATGAATTAACTTACCAATAATAGATTTTTATCAGTGCCGAAGGCCACAGGAGAAACGAGGCTACAAAGGCCAGGATTGGAATGGCCAGGGTGCCGCCTGCGATCACAAACATGTTAACCACGTCAAGATCCATCCTACTCTTGAGGGCTGGCAAACACCTGCAGGGGCTGAAGAAAGTGATAGTATTGACATTCTGTCTGGAGAGGAAAGGGGAAGAAGCAGGGGGAAAAGAAAAGTGCAGAACCCAGAATGAGGATAAAGATGAGGAAACAAAAGCAAGCAAATGCTCAAAACCATGACAACTACATGTAGCGAGGGGTCTCTGAGTCCTTTAGTGAATCTTAGACTATTAGGGAAAAAAGCTCTAAAGGACAGTACTGGGACAATTAGGGAAATCTGAACAAGGACTGGATATCAGATAATATATTGTATCAGTGATACATTTCTTGAGTGTGATGATGAAATTGTGGTAATGTAGGAGAATGGCTTTGTCCTTAGGTGATGCCCAATAAAGTACAGGACTGAAGTATAAATGATACCTGCTACTCACTTTTAAAAGCTTCAAGGAGAAAAAATATTGTGTGTGTGTGTGTGTGTGCATGCACACATGCATGTTTACACATGTGCGTGTTGAAGGGGGAAAGGAAAGTTGAGAGATATAAAGCAAATACAGTGAAGTGTCAACCAGTCATAACTCCAATTGAAGAATATATAGGTAATTATTGTATTATTGGGAGCTCTGGTAGCACAGTGGCTAAGGCACTTGACTGCTAACCAGAAGGCTGGCGGTTCAAACCCACCAGCCACTCCTCGGAAGGAAGATGGGGCAATCTACTTCCGTAGTGATACTGCCTCAGAAACCCAAGGAGGGGTCGCTATGAGTCAGGTCCGACTCGATGGCACATAACAACAACAACAATTGTATTATTACAGAGCTCTGGTGGTATAGTGGTTAAAGCATTCAGCTGCTAACCAAAAAGTAGGCAGTTGGAACTCACCATCCACTCTGTAGGAGAAAAATGAGGCAGACTTCTTCCATAAAGGTTTACAGCCTTGGAAACCTTATGTGGCAGTTCTACTCTGTCCTATAGGGTTGCTATGAGTTGGAATAGACTTGGTGGCAGTGAGGTTTTCTTTGGTATTGTATTGTTCTTTCAACTTTTCTATAGTTTGCAATTTTAAAAAATAAAAATTAGGGAGGACATAGGACCCTAAACAAAGAAATAAATGACAAAATAATACGTATGTATATATGAATTCTTATGTACACACATAGAATAACTCTGGAAATATCAGTAGTTGCATCTATGGTCTCAGGGATAGAAAGGAGACTTGTGTTTCACTGGATACCCTTTTAAATCTTTTAAATTATGTATCTGAATGTACAAATAGGCTGTATGTACATGTGGAACCTATTTAAAATATATAACAAACAACAAAATGTTCAACCAAATCGGTTGCAATTGATTCCAAATTATGGTGACCCCATGTGATACAGGGTAGAACTGCTCCATAGGGTTTTCTTGGCTGTAATCTTTATGGAAGCAGGTTGCTAGGCCCTTCTTCCATGGTACTGCCGGGTGGGTTTGAACCACCAACCTTTAGGTTAGTAGTCAAGCATAAGCCATTCATATGGCCCAGCCAAACCAAACTCACTGCCGTCAAGTTGGATCTGACCTATAGCGATCCTGAGGCGGTATCACTACGGAAGTAGATTGCCCAACCTTCCTTCCAAGGAGTGGCTGGTGGGTTTGAACCACCAGCCTTCTGGTTAGCACACAGAGACTCTTTCAATAAAAAGTTAGAAGAGAAAAAATCCTCATGGCTTAATGGATACATCTGAAGGCTAAAATGTGGGCTCCATTAGGGCAGGGACTGTGTTCCCAGTACCCAGACTAGGGCCTGGCACATTGTAGGTGCCTCTAGAAATCACAACTGAATATAAGGCCAGAAGCCTCATTTAGACTTGTCTCAGGGGCTCACAGTTCATTCTAGCACGGACAAAAAATATTTCAAGTCTCTTCACTCTCCCGATCTAGAAGTCAACTCCCTCAATGACCTCAAAGCCAGATGAACCTCTGCCTCGATTCCCAGCCACCTATGTTAAGTGTGCAGGATTCACTAAACACCAAAAGAGACTTTTTCAAGAAAAAGCATTAGTACCTAACAAATACAGGCCTTCTTATATTTCCTATAAAATGGAGATATCCTTCCCATATATCTCTGTCATGGATAGACAATTAAATTTTACAAAGAACTCATGAGGGCACAACATGATCTCACAATTACAGAGCACAAGGGTCAACAACTTTTTCTGTGAGAGGCCAGATAATAAATTTTTTAGGCTTTGCGGGCCATACGGTTTCTGTTCCAAACTACTCAATGTGTTGTTTTAGTGAGAAAGTAGCCATAGGCAATATGTAATAAGTAGGCATGACTTGACTATATGTTAATCAGTTTATTTACCAAAAAACTGCAGGCCAACTTTGCCCCATAGGCCATAACTTGCCAATCCTTGATATAGTACATCAACCTTGTCAAATAGATAAAACAGATGTTTCATCCCCAGCTATTAAGCTGAGAAAAGAGAGGTTGAGAGGTTAAGTAATTTGCCCAAGGTTGCCCTGCTAAAGGAGTCATGACTACAAAACAGGTTTATGACTCAGACTCATTTTCTTTTCTACCAAGTTCCACTTTGTCTAATTTTTTTTTTTAATTGCCTTTTTTTGGTCTCTGTTGCCTCTTCACTATTAAGGACTGACAATAACCATTCCTTATTTCTCCACTGAAGGTATGGAAGATATGACCTCTCTGTTTAGCTGTTTTGTCTCTTACAAGAGGTTTGGCCAGACAATCTCCTTTTAGTCTCAAGGGGGACGAGAGTGTGAATATAGTAGATTAGATGGTTCTTTTTGGTTACATGCACACTCTGTCTGGCAGCACTCCTGGGTCTACAGTGATTAAAGCTGCCACCTTTTCCAAAGGCATAAACACTGCTTTAGTTTCTGACTCAACTCCCCTTTCAGTTTCTCAGTCTTGTAAGCACTTATCCCAGCACATGCCAATCAAAGGCCTGTCTTTCTTTCTAGACCCAGAATTCCTCACGGGCAGGGACAATCATCTGTGTTTTTCTTTCTCAGTGCCGAGAATAGCACAGGACACGGATGAGAAGTAAATGAATGAATGAAAAGCAAACTTCCAAAAGAGATCCAATCCTACTTAATTTGTTTTAGCGACAACCAAGGCCGATGACACTGTAAGAGACATGACATTTTCCTCTTTTTCAGTAATTACAAAACTCCCCAGAGGAGTCACCTATTTAAGGCAGGCTACAACTGACATTGCTAAAAGGCCGCACAGTCAAGGGGTGAGCAAATTAATCACAGAGTGAAGGGAATTTGTATGAATCTGTTTGAACATTGTGAGTCACGAACAACTTGATGAAGATGAGAACTGCCAGCTTTAAGAGGACTTTTAAACCATATACCAAGACCCTAAAGACTGCCAAGTACTACTGTGAATTCTGATTTCTGAGCTGCAGGACGTTAATTACATGTCCTTTCTTTGGACTAGGAATTAGAACATTTTATGCCTGCAGCCATATATATCATAGACTGACATTGGAGGTGGTGGCCCTGAACTAAAGGTATGATCAGCACAAAAAAAACCTCATATCTTGGCCGGTGCCTGCCATGGAGGTCAAAGTCAGTTTCACCTGGCTCCATCTTCCATTTAACAGCAAAATAAAATCTTCTGTAATCAGCTTTTGTAGAGTATGATCAATTTATAGCAAGCCTTGGACTTATTACAGAGAACCCTACACCTTGGATAAGGTCAAATAAAGGCATGCTCTGGTTGAAGAAACCACAATGCTTCTGAATTTTCTATACAGACAGAGTGGGCAATCACTCCTCTCTCTGCAACACGCTTCATTTTACAAAGGACTTACCCTAACCAGGTTTGCTAGTCTGACAGAGCCTGGTGGAACCACTGAGACTATGGCCCCTAGCTGCCCTTCAGATCTGGAATTGAACCCATGCCTGTGGCATCCAGCCAAACAATAGACAGGCATATGAGTTGAACATTTACCTGACTAGATACACTCCTTGGAGAGAACAATCACAGGAGAAAGAAGGGCTATTTATGCACAGGGAGACAGCTCAGGAGGCAGGAGTACTTGGAGGAATGGACACAGGGAAGAGGTAACTATTGGGAGGAAGTGGGAGGGGAGCTGGTGCATTGGGGTAAATTATGGTCAATGTCATGAGACAAAGTGTATCTGAACTGCTGTATGGAGAGTGAATTTGCTCTATAAATTTTCACACAAATCACAATTAAAAAAAAAAAAAAAGGATTTACCCCACCTTTCCTTTGAAAAGGCGGCTTCCTGTCCCTGCCGGTATTTGTTTATAATAGAACTTTAGATACCCAAGGAAAATGAAGCCTTGTGAGCCAGGAGTCACCAATGACCAAAAATCAACTTAGGGGTATAATGTAGAGTTCCTCAAATCATGAGGCTTGTACCATAACCATAATGCATTACATTAAAGGAAAATGTATTAAGTAGGTGATATGTGGATCTGGTGGAAACCATGATGGTTTGTGTTAGGGGTTAAAGTGTGTCCTCCCAACACATATGTTGGAATCCTACTCCCTTAATCTGTGGATCACTTGGAAATAGGGTGCTTTGTTATGCTAATAAGACCATATCCATGTAGGGTATGTCTTAAATCTAATCACTTTTGAATTATAAAAAGAGTAAATGTGGCACAGAGACAAGCAAGCACAAATGGGGGAAAGGCAGATGCCCCGTGGAGATCACCAAGGAACTGAGAAATATGAAGACTAGAGAAACTGCCACAAGGATCTTCCCCTAGAGCAACAGAGAGAGAGAGAGACAGAGACAGAGACAGAGAGAGGGAGAGAGAGTCAGTGTCCTGAATTCAGACTCCTATGCCCCTAAACTGTGAGAAAATAAATTTCTGTTCTTTAAAGTCACCCACTTGTGGTTATTTCTGTTACAGCAGCACTAGAAAACTAAGACAGCTTGCAAGATGACTTTAGGGAATATGAGAATACTAAACCATGCTTCAGGAGAACGCAGCATTAGATAACTCTGACATATGTCCTGAGAAAGTTACTCCCTTTTCAGTTC